CCTGCAGAAAGTCGCAGTTACCAGTTTTCTCTCTTCTCTCTAGGGTGTGTCTTCCCTCCTCTAAATACACACCCGTCTGTATAGGCACACAGATCCCAACACACATTTGGTCTGTGGGTCTTTGAGCTGTAATCAAAGGTGGAGGCCTAGGCTGAGGAAACCTCCCCTCCCTGGGTTTCTAGTGTTGAATGGACAGTGTGTGGAATGTGGTCCAGCATTAATAATCCTGACCATACATTTCTCCAGGTCACAAAGCAGGTAGTATGTTTGGTCTTCACAGATAGTCGTTTCATGTTCTGGCCACTTCGTAGGGACTCTTTTTGCCTTGTTTTATATTATTATTATTAATATTTATTATTTAGGAAAATAGAACTTATGTAATACATAGTTATCAGCCTTGAAGATGGTGCCGTATCTTTGCAAATTCCCATCATTAGTACTCAGATATGAAGTAAAGCACCTTTCTTCCTTTGAAACTTGAAAAATAGATAGTATACTTGATGTTGTAAATCACTAATCACTCTCCCCCGTCTCTTCACTGCTCTGTCTCCCTGGCAGTCTCCTGATCCCTTTTTCCTCAAGTGATTCTCTTCCCCTATTGGACTCCCCATGAGTCTTGCTCCCTGGGTATTTGGGCTATTCTAATTTCCCCACTATTATTAATAACAATATAAACTTCTTTACAAAAACTGTGTCCTTTGGGGTTATGCCTTTGGAATATCTTTCTCAGAAATGAGTTACTGCATTGAAGGAAATGAACATTTTCTAGCTTTTGTTGCATAGTTGAAGACTCTTCCTGAAACACAGAACCTGTTTCTGATATCTTTAGCAACTTATTAGTGTACTTGTGTCTCCGTAGCCCCATCAACATGGTTACTGTGTTTTTTTTGTTTTTTTTGTTTGCTTCTTTAATATATATATCTAAGAGTTCAAGTTTTAATTTTCCAGTGCTAGTGACCCTGGATGTTATTACATGTTGTGGCTTAACTGTCTGCATTTCCCATGTATAAACTGGGTTTTTCTCCTTTGAGTATTGATTGAATAGAATCTGCATATTGATCTTATGATTACATTGTATCCTTCCAATATTTTTTCTGTTGCCTTCTGTTTTGTTAAGCATTTTGGCCTTATGTGTTCAATGCATCCTTCTCTGAGTAGGTATAAATTTTCTTCTTCCCATATCTTGGATGATGACCTTCTATTTTCTTCCAGTTTTTTTTGTTTGATTTGTGTTTAATGCTTTGACTTTTGTATGATATAGAGTGATGAATGAATCCCATACTGTTTTTATGTTTATTAACTAGTAGCTCTTTTCCCATTGTTATGTTCTTTCTGGTTCATCTTAGTGTTTTATAATAGTTTCAATTTATTTCTGGAACCTTAAATATATTATATTGTTTTGTTTCTTTCTTTGTTTTTCTCCTAACATCATAAACTTTAGCTCATTGTTGCTTTGTAAGATATTTAAAAATCTGGTAGGATAAGCTTACTATTGTTAAATTTCAAGACATATGTATTTGGTATTCTTGCATACTTATTCTTCTAGATGAATTCTGATCTCAATTTGTCAAGTTCTAAAATATACTCTACAGGAATTTAAAATCCGTGTTACATTAAATACTTGTATTTTCTTGGGAAGTATTATCTGTATTTAGTCCTCTCAGGCAGGATTTAGCGATTTCTTTCCTGTTATTCATATCTTTTTTTTTTGGTGAGGAAGATTAGCCTTGCGCTAACCTCTGTTGCCAGTCCTCTTTTTGCTGAGGAAGATTTGCCCTGAGCTAACATCTGTGCCCATCTTCCTCTATTTTATGTGGGACGCCTGCCACAGCATAGCTTGATAAGCGGCACGTAGGTCTGCACCCGGGATGCAGAGTGCACGAACTTAACCGCTATGCCACTGGGCCAGCCCCTATTCGTGTCTTCTTTTATTCATCCTATTAGGATTTATATTTTTTTCCTAATTAAATCTTTAATATCCTGAACTAAACTATTTAACAAATTTTAAATATTTTGGTGATTTTGTAAATTGCCTTTCTCTTTATTGGGGTTTCTAGTTAAATGGTCCTAATGGATAAGAATGCAGTGATTTTTGTTTTTCCTTATAACCTACAGCCTTTCTAAATTCTTTGTTATTGATGATATTTTGTTGTTTTTGATTTCCTAGGATTATAATCATGCTGTTGATGGAGATGCTGTTTTGATTTCTTCCTTTCTCTTTCTTAATTATTAATATTAACAATATTAATATATTGTTAATCTAATCATTTTGTCCTCAGTATTGGCCGCCAGCCTTTCCAGCCCCGTATCCTGTAGAAGGAGAGACTGGGAAAGCCTTTTGGTGTTCCGGTTTTAAAAGAATTGACTCTAGCACTTCACCAAGTAAAATGTTGATGCTTTGTAATTTTAAAATTATTTTAAAATGATATATAATCTTTATCATGCATAACCACCTTTTTACAACAAATACTTGGTTTAAGTAAAAAAAACTATTCAGGTCACTTTCTCCTTGTAACATTTCTGAATTTCATCCACTTCTGAATAATCCTTATCTTAGTCACAAGAGACATTTTTCTCCTCAAAACATTCTTCAGTCTCAAAACAGTTTCTGATTGTAGTAGTTTTACCCCCGCCCTACTAAGTGTATGTTGTGGTAACCCTTGGTTTTCGTCATTATTCCATAATACAACACACTGATATAAACCCCTTCCATGAATCTGATGGGATGCTTTGGAGGGGCCTTTCCTTCACCAGGAATTGCTCTGGTTTCTAGTAATGCAAAATAGCCTTTCAGCACTAAAAGTGGCTGGTCCCAGGCCCCAGTTTCCAGTCCTAATTCAAAGAATTTTCTCCTTTCAGGTCCTAGGCTTACATTTATTTTTTTTCTGAGGCACCATTCTTTTAAAAACTGGGGACAGTTGGGGGCCAGCCCGGTGGCGTAGTGGTTACATTCACATACTCTGCTTTGCTGGCCCGGGGTTTGCAGGTTCAGATCCTGGGCGCGGACCTATGCACTGCTCGTCAAGCCGTGCTGTGGCGGCATCCCATATATAAAATGGAGGAAGATGGGCACAGATGTTAGCTCAGGGCCAGTCTTCTTCAGCAAAAAGAGGAAGATTGGCAACAGATGTTAGCTCATGGTCTATCTCTGTCATCAAAAAATAAATAAATAAATAAAATAAAAACTGGCGACAGTTGACATTCCTGTTTGTGAATGAAAGGCACTCTCTCATCCCATGTGTTTTTCTGAGGATTTCAGTGGAAACTGAAACTTTTCTGTTTATTTCGAAATGATTATAGGTTCATAGGAAGTTGCAAAAATAGCATCGAGAAGTCCCGTGGACCTTTCACCCGGTTTCCACCAGTGGTAACATCTTACAGGATTTCGCCTTGGATATTTCCAAGGATAGCTCTGGCTTTGGCTTAGTGTCCTCATTGTAGTTCTCAGCCTGGGTTGCACTTGTACCGTGGTTTCCCAACCAGAAGACGTGATTAGGTGATGAGGTTCTTGTCCTTGTTTGGCCATTATCTTTTTGACCTGAAGGCAATTAACTCATCTCAGCTTTAATTTCTTTGTAGAATGAGGAAGTCATTCTACAGTTTATGTGATTGGTTAGCTGAAAGCACAGCCACCTGGTTAGAAGACATAATTGAGCAGCCCTTGTCTGAGCAGTGTGCCCTGGTTATTTCCCTCTTTACCTTATATGTAACAAACTGAGAGATTTTAAAACTGAAATACTGTTTAGATTCATTTCTAAGATAAAGAAAGTAATAAGAACAATATAGAGTTGATTAATTTAGAGCTGAAGTTAAATAGAATGCCAGTAATATGGAAAAATACAAAGGCGTGTAAAACTTTCCCTTAGAAATAAATTGACACAGAAGTCTAAGGCACCTGCCAATTTTAAATGGAAAAGAATGACTTTAGGAAGTGGATTTAAAATGACTAAAACTAAGATGTTTATTATCACTGGTAATAATTCCCATATAATTGTACTGAAGAGCTTGTTATGCATGAATCTGTTATTTGTAATTTTTATTATGGTCTTCATTAGAAGTTGCATGTCTTTTTTATTTCAGAAGTTAATTATTGGGATGAAGAGCACTGTCAATTTTTGTATTATTGTTTCAGTAGAGCATGGCTGGATATTTGTGATGAATCTGAATAAAACGACCAGATTTATATAAGGAATGTGGATCTATGCTGGATGTTTTATGGACAAACAGAAAAGATTCCAGCCTGGAAACATTATTGAAATTGCATCTAGGAAAAACTTTTGTCTGGGGGATCATATTGTCACTCTGAGAGAACTAAGTTCTCCTCTCTCACCTTCTCATCAGAGTAAATCACTGTACAATTTAGTTAGTTAGTTAGTGAGGAAGATTAGCCCTCAGCTAACATCTCTTGCTAATCCTCCTTTTTTTGCTGAGGAAGATCAGTCCTGGGCTAACATCTGTGCCCATCTTCTTCTACTTTATATGGGACGCCGCCACAGCATGGCTGCATAAGCGGTGCGTCAGTTTGAGCCTGTGATCCAAAGCCTCGAACCCCGGGCTGCTGAAGCAGAGCATGTGAACCTAACTACAGCACCACCGGGCTGGCCCTGCACTGTACAATTTAAATTCTCCATACCATACAACCTCTTCAGATTTTTATTTCCTTTGGTTTAATTGCAAGGCTGGAATCCTCTGCCTTGCTCACATGGTTTGTGCTGCACAGGCTTTGGAATCGGTAGCCAGTCCCTGCTAAGAGTAATTTTAGAAATGAGTAGCATACGAAAATAGTTCTCGCCAACCTAAGAAAAATGGAAATTGCCAAGAGTTTATTAAAGTAATACAGAAAGGGGCAGTGCTCTCATCCATGATAAAGTCCACCCAACTAATTCATGCTTACAGAAGACTTTTTTTCCTCTTTCCCTTGCTCTATCTGTTCAAATTGCTGATTCTCTAACACCCAATGACTCTTCTCTTAAATGCCCATCTTTGGTATTTCTTCAAAGTTTTGTGCACCGAGGGCGGCCTGAGCCTCTGGATCTTCACTTGGGCATGTTCTTGCCCACCTTGCTTCACCAGGCAACTGAGGAACAGCAGGAGCGCTTCTTCATGCCCGCCTGGAACTTGGAGATCATTGGCACTTATGCCCAGACAGAGATGGGTCATGGTACGGTGCATTCAGTCTACCTTCTGGGTCGGGTGGGGCTCTTTGAGCTTAGCATGTATGGAGAGCCCACCATGTGTTAGCCATGGCATCTCCACATACTATGATCTGTTTAAATGAGATCTTCCTGCAGAGGCCAGGTTTTTCACATATAGAAGCCTTGGCATAGACATTGCTTTGGTCAGTGGAAATTAAAGTTTATGTTATCACAGAGATATGCTGAATATTTTTTTTCATGGTTCCCCTTCAGAAGGTCAAGAATTACAAGTTGGGCCTTATTTACTAAGTGGTTTTTCAAAATCACTGAAGTTGTATAGAATTTGCGTGCGTGTAGAATCTGAACCCATCTTTTGTTCTTCATTGCTGTCTGATTACCTTTACTACTGATACATTAATGAACTTGGACAAATTCCAGAAGAAATACAAATTAATAATATGTGTGCTCTTTGACTTGCTGGAGGGAAATGAGTGGGTTATATAACCACATGTGCAGCATTTTATAGCTTGAAGTTATTTGCATATTGATTCAGTAAAGTTCTGAAGGTAGTTTGGCCAAAGGTTAGAACAGATAAGATAAGCCACACTTCCAGGCAGTTGGTTTCAAACTCTGTATCTGCCGCCTTTCTTTTCTCTTTCCATCCCCCACCTACCTTTTCTCCTGAACTGAATTGGGCTAAAGGTGTCGTGGCTGTTGCTGTTACCATCGGGTCTGAATTGGTATCTGCGTTTGCCATTCATTTGTTTCTGGCTTCTCTGTTTCTCCTCAGATGTTTCAGAACAACTAGTCTAGTGTATGTTTGCCACTTGCTCATTAGTCCTGTACAACTTCGTCTTAATTTTATAGCTAAAATTAGGCTCTTGGTGCTGACTAGCATTTTACAGGATTTTCACAAGACTCAAGGTAGAATACTACTTGGTTCAGTTGTGCATGTGAAAACATTTTGTTATTATTTATTCTGTTTCCTATGTTACCTCTTGTTCTTCCAAAGCTGCTTCTTTGGTGAAAGGAGTCTAAGTGTCTGGTTCCTTGATTCCCACTTAGGGGAAGGTTGTGGATCATACATAAGCTGGCCATTTCTGTTCCTCAACTTGGAAGTTTCTCAGTGTTTCAAAGATAAGTGTTTAAAGAGGTCTAGCATCATCAAAGCAGTTTGGTAAAAGATTCGCAGCATTTGCTTCAGGATCAAGAGAATATCACTTAGAACATTTTTCTGTAACTTTAAATTTTGGCACATTTATATTAGGATTTAAAACACAAATCCCTGTCCATCTCTAGTAAATATATGAAACTGGGAACTTTTCCTGATCACACTGAAGAACCAGCCAGAACTAAGTTAAAGCCTGGCATTGGAAATCTGTTGGGTGAGCGTAGACCTTCTTATTGGACCTTTAGAAATCCAAAAAAATCACTGTTCCAGGAACTTCTGGGTTCCTCCTAATAGCTATATCTTTTTAAGTTCTTGTCTTCCATTCCAGCAATCATTCTGAAATAAGGTCTCAGTTTACAAGAACTTTAGCTGGAGTCTCTTCCTGTCACATGTTATATTATGCTTTGTAGTAATACAGAGGTCCAGAATGTTGAATTGGTGTGGTAAACACAATATGTATGAGTTGAAATTGGCATACTCACAACTAAGAGGTGGGTTTAAAAGGACAATTAACTTCTCTGTTAAATTCATATATTTTCAACTTAATAGGAACTGTCTGATTTAAGTATAGGAAATTATGTATCTTGGTTATCAACCATTTGTGGCTCATCTGCAAATGTTTTGTTGTCATTAGATTTTGTTTTTCTCTGAGCTACTAGAGCTTAAAGGACTGGTTGGAGGTTTTACCCTGCACCTATTTTTTCCCATATTCTCTCTGAAGTGAATGTAATTTATTTCCTTAGGAACTCATCTTCGAGGCTTGGAAACCACAGCCACTTATGACCCTGAAACCCAGGAGTTCATTCTCAACACTCCCACTGTGACCTCTATCAAGTGGTGGCCTGGTGGACGTAAGTGAATTTTTTATCATTTATTGGATATTTTGAAGATCTATTTTAAGATTGTGTTTAGAATGTAGAGCTTATATGAGAATATCATTTTGAAATATAGAAAAAAATCTGTCAGTCTTAAACTATTCTAAGCTATTTCTGGTTTCTTATGGTACATGTTATAGATATTTACACATTTTACAAAGTGCAGAGAGGACAGCTATCTTACTCAGCTTTTCTTAGTTTTTCATCTAAACATTCCCATGTATTAGCATAGTTTCCATAGTCATCATTTAAACTTAGTATTCCCTGTTTGGTTAGTCATTTCCATATTGTCAAGCATTTGAGTTGTTTCAAATTTTTGTTTTAAATAGCTTTGACATGAAACTTATTTAATATTATCTTCCACTCTGAGTTATTTTCTTAGGATGACTATTTCAGATAGGCGTTAGTGGTTGAAGGATTTTGTTATTCATATTATATATTTCAATATATGACATTAAATTTTGATAAGAAAAAAATCTAGCATGCAAAAAAGATAAATATTTCTGGAGGTACTTACAAAAAATCTGTTGAAGCAGCTCTATCCCATAGAACTTTTTGCAATGATGGGAATATTTTCTGTCTTTGCTGTTCGGTATGGTAGCCACTAGCTACATAATAGCTATTGAACACTTGAAATGTGACTTATTGATTGGGGAACTGAATCTTTTATTTAATTATAATTAATTGGAATGTAAATAGCCACATGTAGCTAGTGGCTACTGTTTTGGAAAGTGCTGCCTTAAGAGAGAAAAAGGCAGTAATTTAAATTAGTGTACGTACGGTTATCCTAAAATTTTCTTTATGTAAATGAATGAGAAATAACTAGAAAAGAAAGTAAAGTTTTCTTTTTTTAATGAAAGATTGCTCTCAAATCAACACACTGTACACCTTAAACTTACTCAATGTTATGTCAGTTATATCTCAATAAAAAATTTATAAAGTTTTTATATATATAGAAAAATGAAGGATTGCTTTGCCGAAATTCAATAAGTTTTAATAACTATCAGCTTAAGTGGATTTCTCTCTGAAAACTTGATTTGGTGCTGTCATAAGACAGACTCTCTGGGCACACTTATTGATAGAGTCTAGCATTATATTTAACATATGCTTTTTCAAACCCCTCTTTTGTTTCTGTCCTTTGAAAATTGAAGAACATTTGCTCACTTCTCTCCTCTTTGATGTTGCAGTTGGAAAGACTTCAAATCATGCAATTGTTCTTGCCCAACTCATCACTAGGGGGAAATGCTATGGATTACATGCCTTCATTGTACCTATTCGTGAAATTGGGACCCATAAGCCTTTGCCAGGTTAGAATTGTTCATCCTATGTTGAGATCAAAAATTAAACTGATCACTTTCTTCTGCAAAAAGTAGAACAAACAACTCAAGAGGTGGGGGAGAGCCAGGAATTGTGAAACAAACATCTTGTGACTTTTCTTTCATCTGTGGTAGGCATTACTGTAGGAGACATTGGCCCCAAATTTGGCTATGATGAGATGGATAATGGCTACCTGAAGATGGACAGTTATCGTATTCCCAGAGAAAACATGCTAATGAAGTACGCCCAGGTATATTTAGAAAGAAAATAGGAGCAGAGGTGTCAAACACGGGAGTTTCGATGGCTGTTTATAATTACGGGGTTAGAAAGGTCTGTTTTTGGGGCCGGCCCCATGGCTTAGCGGTTGGGTACGCGCACTCCGCTGCTGGCGGCCCGGGTTCGGATCCCGGGCGCGCACTGATGCACCGCTTCTCTGGCCATGCTGAGGCTGTGTCCCACATACAGCAACTAGAAGGCTGTACAACTATGACATACAACTATCTACTGGGGCTTTGGGGGGAAAAAATAAATAAATAAAAAATTTTAAAAAAAAGAAAGGTCTGTTTTTTTAGAAGGTAATAACATATTTTTACTTCTGATGCTTCTTTTATTATGATAGTCAAATCAAAAGCAGTTGGCAGGGGGGCCGGCCCCATGGTGTAGTGGTTAAGTTCCATGCACTCCACTTCGGTGGCCCAGGTTTGTGGATTTGAATCCTGGGTGCAGACCTACACCACTCGTTAGCCATACTGTGGCAGCAACCCACATATAAAGTAGAGGAAGATTGACACAGATGTTAGCTCAGGGGGAATCTTCCTCAGCAAAAAAAAAAAAGCAGTTGGCAGGTGTGAAGAGCATATCCTGGTTTGCTAAACCAGTGGGTCTCAAACCTGGCATGCATTAGAATCACCTGGAGCACTGGTTAAAGTAGGTCAGGGTGGGGACTGAGGTTGTGTAGTTCAAACAAGTTCCCAGGTGATGCTGATGCTGATGCTGTCATTTGGGGGGCCACACTTTGTGAATCACTGGCCTGAATTGCCACTTTATTTTAACAAAAGGAAGCATCAGTCCCACGATCTTTTTCCAGGTGAAGCCTGATGGCACGTACGTGAAGCCTGTGAGTAACAAGCTGACCTATGGGACCATGGTGTTTGTCAGGTCCTTCCTCGTGGGAGAAGCCGCTCGGTCTCTGTCTAAGGCTTGCACCATTGCCATCCGATACAGCGCTGTGAGGCACCAGTCTGAAATCAAGCCAGGGTGAGGCTGGAGCCTGAGATGGGCTCAGTACTGAAGACCTGGCTCTCACCCCATTCAGATATCAAAGTTCCCCAGTGTAGTGTAGAGCAGACCCATTGGCTATGCAAAATTAGCTAGGACAGCAGTGTACTAGGCCTACAACTTAAAACCTAAACTTCCTTTTCTTAAGTGGAAAGATGAGAATAACCACCTTATTATTTTTAACCGTCTAAGAAAAACTAGTAATATTACTTGAGCTCTAGAAATGAAATGTTCAAAACATTGAAGGCAGTTTGAAAATTCTGATTGCTAACAACTGCAAATTCGATATGGTGAAAGTGACATTCAACTTGACTCCCTGTTGTGTTCATGACCATAGTTTATTCCTGCTACTGCCTTTCACTTGGGCATGACTCCTTATAACCTTTTTACTCTTAAAGAAAGAATAAAGAAATTGATAAGAGCAGACCTTCTTAGACTTCAAATATTTAACTCTCTGCATTGGGTCTTCTCAAATTGTGGTCAGAATATAGTTTATTCAGTCATCTAGTGGGTTAGACCTCTTTTACATTGCCTTCCTCCTGCGAGGTTAACTAACTTTGATTTTGTATATTGCTATGAGATAACAGTTTCCTTAGTCATACTTAGTCAAGGCTAAGATAGATATGAACTTCACAGCTAGGAAATTCTGTCTACCTAAGGCAGTTCAACATGGCGGTTAAGAGCATGGTCTCCTGTAGCCAGATAGCTTAGAGTTACATTGAGAATCTGCCACTTATTAGCTGTGTGACCTCGGGCAGGTTCTTAACCTCTGATTTTCCCCATCTGTAAAATTGGGATACTAATAGCTACCTCACAGGGTCTTTATGAGTATTAAATAAGTTAATATATGAAAGTGTTTAGACTAGAACCTGGAACATAGTAAGTTCTATATATGTGTTTACTTTTTTTTTTTTTTTCCTACATACTTCAGTGAATCAGAACCACAGATTTTGGATTTTCAAACCCAGCAGTATAAACTCTTTCCACTCCTGGCCACTGCATATGCCTTCCAGTTTGTAGGCGCGTATATAAAGGAGACCTACCTTCGGATTAATGAAGGCATTGGCCAAGGGGACCTGAGTGAACTGCCTGAGGTATGTATTTAGTCTCATTCGCTTGTGGACACCCTTCTCTTTCATATTTGCCTGTTGGACAATGTCCAGAGAAAACTAAACCTTGGGATTTCGTGAAAAGAATCCATATACTCTCAAAAGATACAGACATTTTTCTGATTGAAAGTGGATCAGATATGAAGATATGTGGGTTTTGTCTTTCAGTTTCAGAAGTACTGTACCATGTCGGTCATTTGTTAATCAAAGGAACATAAATGGTGACTTTTTGCCAAGTAGAACAGTTCAGAAGGGAATGTTGGAAATGTTATTAATTCAGGCCACTTAGATGACCATGCTTCTTCAGTTTACATACGTGACAAATGATGTTGAAAGTGACTAGCACTGTTAGGTGAGGATAAGTGTTTCTCTTTGGAACTCGGACTGTCAGCACCACCAATGTTCTGATGGCCTTGTGCTTTCCCCCTTCAGCTTCACGCCCTCACCGCGGGGCTGAAGGCTTTCACCACCTGGACAAGTAGCGCTGCTATTGAAGCGTGTCGCATGGCGTGTGGCGGGCATGGCTATTCTCATTGCAGTGGTCTTCCAAATATTTATGTCACTTTTACACCAGCCTGCACCTTTGAGGGAGAAAACACTGTCATGATGCTGCAGACGGCTAGGTGAGAGTCTTAATTCATGATTTTTCTTCTCTCTTATCAAGAGTGTTCCAGTCCTTTTCATCAGTTCCTCTTCCCATGTTTTCTCTTCACATTATATTTGTTCCTGAAAGATGTAGTTTTGCCTTTCATCCTGAGCCACTGTTTTTATCTTGTGGTCAGACCAGCAAGTATGAAATACCTGTCACATAGCTTGAAGTTGTTTCAAGAGTTTGTTTCTGTTTCACAAAAAGTATAGTTACTGAAAGCATGTGTGCTGGTGATTTTTAGGTTCCTGCTGAAAAGTTACGACCAGGTGCACTCAGGAAAGTTGGTCTGTGGCATGGTGTCCTACTTGAATGACCTGCCCAGTCAGCGCATCCAGCCACAACAGGTAGCAGTCTGGCCGACTGTGGTGGATATCAACAGCCCGGACAGCCTAACAGAAGCGTATAAACTTCGTGCGGCCAGGTGAGCTCACCCTTAAAAGCTAGAATGGGCAGCTGTGGGGGCCTCTGGGGCTAGGGGCCTGATGGAAGAGGAAGAAGGCATGAGTACTATTGATCATTTCCTCCAAGATCCAGTTTTCTTTCATTTTTTAACAGATTAGTAGCAATTGCTGCGAAAAACCTTCAAACTGAAGTGGTTCACAGAAAAAGCAAGGAGGTAGCATGGAACCTAACTTCCGTTGACCTTGTTCGAGCAAGTGAGGTCAGTGATAGTTCTCTCCCCCTCTTCTTTCTCCCGCCCTCCGCTTCCCTTCTCCCCCGCTCCCCCTCTTGCTGTCTTAGTGCAGAAACCCTTGTCACTGTGTGTTGAATCTTTTTCAAAGGTTCTCACACTCTGGTGTTTTCTTTTTATCTAGGCACATTGCCACTATGTGGTAGTTAAGCTCTTTACAGAAAAACTCCTCAAGATTCAAGATAAATCTGTCCAAGCTGTCTTAAGGAATTTATGTCTCTTGTATTCTCTGTATGGAATCAGTCAGAATGCAGGGGATTTTCTTCAGGTCAGTATTTTTAAGGTTAAGTCCTGTTTATTTACTTTTGTAGAAGAATAATTGTGGCCTATTTTATATTTGTGTATATATAAATATCTCTGTCTCTATACAGACATATATATATGTTTGTTTGCTTATTTTGTTTTGTTTAGGGGAGCATCATGACCGAGTCTCAGATTACCCAAGTGAACCAGCGTATAAAGGAGTTACTGACTGCCATTCGCCCTGAGGCTGTTGCTTTGGTTGATGCTTTTGATTTTCAGGACGTGACACTCGGCTCTGTGCTTGGCCGCTATGATGGGAATGTGTACGAAAACTTGTTTGAGTGGGCCAAGAAATCCCCACTGAACAAAACAGAGGTAAAAAACGATGCCTTTTCACCTTTTGAAATTCTTCATTTAAATATTAAGGCAGGAAAGACCTCTGAGAGTGATCCATCTGTGGAACCTTTGAAAGCTCTTGTGACCACTTCGGACAATCACCTTATTTGAGCAACAGGTTCAGAAGGGAACTGGGTCGTTCCCACAGTAAGCAGGTTTTTAATTTCCTTGAGTATTTAATAACTAATTGAAAATTTTCAAACATGTACAAAAATAGAATTCTCTAATGCACCTGCATGTACCCTTTGTCCTGCTTTAACAGCTGTCTACTCACAGCCAGTTGTGGTTCATCTGAACCCCCCCAGCCGCCCCACCCCGGGGATTATTTTGAAACAAATCTAGGGTATCAGATTATTTTATCCATAGATATTTCAATATGTATCTCTAAAAGATAAAGATTCTTTTAAAAAATTAACCACATTCCATTCTCACACCTAATTAATTAATAGTAAATTTTTTAGTATCGTGAACTACCCAGTGTTCAGATTTCCCCAATTGACTCAATTTTTTTTCCCTTAAGTTTCTTTGAATTAGGATCCAAATAAGGTCCAGGTAATTTCTCCATTAAAAGTACACTGTTTTACATTACAAGCTCCTTATCAGTTAATTTCTTCTCTCTCCCTTCCCTAAAGGTCCATGAATCTTACTACAAGCACCTGAAGCCACTGCAGTCCAAGCTCTGAAGTGTCATGACGAGTGTAATCTGTTCCAGAAAGCAGCTCTGCTCTTCTACTCCCCTTGCTCCTGTCGCTCAAATCTGTGCGGCATCTTTATCGAATTCAGAGAGCTATAGAGCAAATGATAAATTGACCCCTTGCCTCTTTTTATAAATGAAGGAAAAAAAGAACAGATTTCAGAGATTAAATGAAAAAAAAGGTGTGTTTTAAGTGCAATTAACACTGAAAGAGACCTGTTAAGCATTCAGAAAAAGCTTTAAGAAATGTCATATGACTTCCATTTATAATGCTGCTGATCCCAGTAGGCCATGCCTTTTGATAATTAGTAGAATTTAACTACTAAGTAGTTAATTATTTTCACATCTCAGTTCTTAATCACTGGATATATAAGTGTTTTTAAGCAAAGATATTTTTTAAGTGAGGTATAACCCTTCCAGGCGTTCCTGCTAAATGTCCTACCACTCCCACCGTGGGGCCTGCTAAAAAGCAGGACTGAAGAAAAGGGATTGGGGGCAGGAAACTGATTGTGAGTTTGTGCTTGACACACTGACACATTCTCTGCCCGCTTGCCCTCCTTTGCCAATGTATTGCCGTGTATCATTCCTATCTAACTATTCCTGGTGCATTTTCCCAACACAAGGATTTCTTCAACACAGGCCTACTGCAGGATCATTGTCTCGTGTAATTGGGAATTCATCTCCCGTTCGAGGAATCCCTAAATTGTCTATAGTAGCTCTACAACTGCCTTTGTCGCTAACTTCTTGGGAAGGGGTAGGTGGCAAACTTATCTCTACATGTAACTTTTGGCAGCTGATCGGACCTCAGTCAGTGGTGTTTGCTCTCCTTTCCTCTGAAGAAAGGAGCAAAAAGAGTCACAGTTCTTTCTTAGTAGAGTAAGTGTAGGGAGAGCTCTCGGTTACGGTTATTGTAACTTGGGTGACCATATTAGCTGGATTTTCTGAAACAACTCAGATTTCATATATTCTGTCATTTTGGCGTAAGCCATTAAAATGCTTGGAGGGTACAGTATCGGGCGTTAAAAAAATAAAAGCATCACTCAGGTTTCCTCTTACACCCAGGAGTAGCACAGAGATGTCCTTTGACAAACCATGTTCTGATTTTTGGATGAGAAAATATAATCATTGAAACTATGGCTAAAGGATAAATGGAAGTTCTAAAGAATTGTGTATCTGGGTTTGTTTTCAGTATGTTTCTAGGAGCTTTATCTGAATTGCTAAATTGTCCTTTCAGCTGAAATCTAATTTATACAATCATTCTATATTTAAAGGTTAACATGAGTTTTTTTCTTGAAATCAATGTAAAACATGTCACTTGATTTTTTTTTTTAACCTGTTAACTATTTGTGTCTGTGATATCTGCCTCATGAAACCAGTTGTTCTAGAACCAGTTGTTGAGAAGGTAGTATAATTCAGTGAAAATGTAATTCCTATCTTGAGACCTGCCGTAAACTCTATCCCAGTGGAACCAGTAATATGAGACTTTTAGGTCCAGCAGAAATACTATCTGTTGACACAAGCCTTAATCTTTCTACCAGGAGAACTAAGTAATAGTTGTGTTAAGACTGAAGTGAAAAGCACTCTTTGTTAATCTCATTTGGGTATATCTTGACAGTAGTTTGGATTCTGGGAAATAACAAAAAGTAAATTTAAATTTCTTAACATTGACCTATTAAATGTAGATTTGTTTCAGAATTAGTGGTTAAATACCTTATCCACAGATGCATATCTGTGGGTCAGGATCTAAGGGTGTTTGAAATGACACCGTGCCACCTAATCCAACTGCATAGATCTGAGATCTGTCTTTAGCAGATGTGAACTGGATGTAGACATTACATCAGTCTAGCACCTTGAGTTTTATTTAAAAACTAAATCTGATATTTGATACTATTTTTATTAACATTGGAATATTTTGTCATGAACTTTATTCACTGTAATTAAAGAATAAAGATATAGTAAAACCTCACTAATTTGTGCTATCAAGAGGGAAAGAGTGTACCACACAATTAAACATGTTTCTTATGAAATTCTTAGGAAGAATTTTAAGATACAGGTTTATTAGGTTTAGGTAACACTAAAAACAAAAGATGAAGGCATGAGAGCTGCCTGAGCAGATGGCTCTTACATTAGCCGTAATCACTGTGGTAGCAGTGTCTGTGCTGGTCGATCTAGGAATACATGTTTGTTTTGTTGGCTACTTGGTAAAGGAAGCAGCAGGTCCAGTTTGCTGTCCCTAAGAAGCCAGACTTTGCCACAGATAAGTTTGGTTCTATTGGGTACTTTTGTAAGCTGTTTTCACAAAAAATACAAAGATAAATTTCAATTTTGTATTTTGGATAAATTTTGGAGAAAACACAGTCTTCTCCAAAATGATGATAAATACTGAGTAGAATAAGATTTTTCTATTAGATGGTAATGATATAAGCCTTTTAAGAAAGTACTCTGAACAGTACCCAAAATTGAAAATTTGAGGTTTAATAGAGATGTTTTTGCTATTTGTAATGGATGAAGGTTGATTCTTCCTGAAGTGTTGGGAGCTCTGCTTTGTGCTCTTCTAGAGATACACTGAGGTGTATTTCAGTATTTGGACATTAGTGACCTGAAAACACAGTTGGTCCCAAAGCCTTTGGGGCCCTTCATGTTCTTGTCTTCAGAATGTAGCACTGCTAAGTATCAGCTTATCTTCAGAACATTCGCTTAATTGCAACATTACCTACATTCTCATGCTTTCTAAGAACTCACTGCTTGTAACTTCAGATTACATATACCTGGAGGCATTTTATAGTTCCTAAAGTTAACATGTTAGATCTTAATTCTTGGTTTTCTTCAGTGCAGGGCTTTGGCTAGAGAAATATAACTTCAAATTCATGATTCTAGAGTTCCCTGGGGAACGAAAATTCTTTAGACTGCTGCTGCTCCAAGTCCCTCCTCCCCCTATCTGTGTTCTTTCCATCTGTTTTATTAGGAAGGAAGAGAATTAGATGCAGATGGTCTGTAACACCTGCTAATCTTTATATATGTGGAAGGTATGCCTCGGGTTATAGGTTATCTTCAAGAGTAGCTGCTGCTGTAGCTGGAGAGAGGAGCCGTGCCAGGAAATTGATTGTTCTGCTTGAGACCAAGAGTCTTGGTAATTCTGACTCAGATAAGGCTTTGATCATTTTCATGGAGTAATGTAGAGATCATTTCAGCTAATTGAATATTTACTACTCCATGCTTGGAGGATTAGACCAAGTCACACTGTAAATGACTAAAATGACTTTTCATTTTGAAATAGTGGTGGTGGAGTTTTGCTTTTAGCTATCCACACTTACAAATTTTTCAGTACCTCTTCCTGTGGTCCATGATACTAAACATAGAAAACATAGAAGGAACCTTTGGAGTTAGCAGATGATAGCTGTTGCAGACCTGCAAATTCCTGGATTCCAAGGGGTTTTTATGTTTGACTTTGACTTTTGCCTTAAATTTGTGTGCCATTGATTATCTAGGGAAGATCATGGGAAATTGGGAGTGATTTTACATATTATGAACTAAAGTAAATTGTTTTGTCACAATACTGTTGACTTTCATAGATTAGGTATCAAATGTGTGATCTTCAACATAATCAGACTGCTGACTGCTACTTTGTAAACACCATTTTATTTCCAATTGTTGTGGATTCAAGGACAGGACTTTAACATCCTTTGTAATATATAATCACTCTGCTACCTTTTTTCCTTTTACTGTTGTGGTTTGAGTTTGGTTCCTACCTGACAAGATGAATTTCCATGTATTGTTACCCATCCCTGGCTGGACGGGTCGGTGGGGTTGAGAGTACTGAGGAGGTGTGCTGGTCCAGAGCGTGTGAGTCACGGTTGGAGGGCAGTGACCCGCCAGCACTGATTGGCCTGCGAGTAAGGCAAACCACTAACTCCCTTTTCCTTTGTAAAACTGGAAAACCCTTAATAAAATCTGTAATTAACACAAAAAAATGTTACGTGTCTTTATTGGGAGGCTGTATTGGGTTTCATTCTGGTTTCGCAGCTTTGATTTTGATAATTGAACAGAAAGGTCACAGCCATTTCCCGAAGCTTTGTTGTGTGGGATAAATATATATAATTATGGTTTATCGGTCTTCCAATCTTAACACGTTTTTCACGCCTCCAACCTCGCCACGAGTCAGCCCCCAGAAGAGTGCTGGAGGAATTTTAGTGTTTGGTTTTGGAGCCCAGGCCCCCGGCAGTCTTCTAGGGAGGGCGAGAGGAAGAACACCACCGGCCGTCGCTGCCCTGTTCCCTCTTTCCGAGCGGGTGTTGAGGGAGCACCTAGCAACTCGCGGAGCCGGGCACAGAGGCCCGGCCTCCACCAACGGCCAGGGCGGGGCACCGTGGGAAATGTAGTTCATCTCGGCGCCCGTGGTTCCCTTGACTCCAGCAGCTGAGCGGACCGTGGACTACAACTCCCAGGATGCCTCGAGACTCGCCTTCCGGAGGCCGAGCGACTGAGAGACTGGCGGCCGCGGGGTTCTGAAGCGGGAGGCCCGACCAAACTGGGCTCCCGCGGAGCCGGAACCAGTGGACATGGCTGGGACAGGTGCCCTCGTCTGCGCCTCTGCGGGGAATGGCGCGTAACCCGGAGGATTTCAGGGGCTAGAAGGATTGTAGGCTGAGCTCGGAGCCCAGATGGTCTGGGCGCGCGGAGAGGGTGACGCATGGAGGGGCACGGAGTCTCGGGACCGAGGGGGTGACTCCGGGAGGGGTCTTGCTAAAGGGCAGGTTTGGGATTTTAAAATGCCTGGCACGGAGTTGGTTAAAGAGATGCGATGACGCGATGGTACTGTGTGGCCCTGTGGCCTTTGCAAACCTCTCTTAGAAATTCCCGCGGTGTGGGAGGCTGGGACAGTATCGATAGGAGATGGCAGAAGTTCCTGGATGTGTTATGGTGCAAAACATGTTTGGACTTGTAGGTCGTGAAAATTGCCATTACAGAGAAAGAAACAAAAATAGTCAGAGTGGCCCCTATGCGTAACCCAGCTAAACTTTGCCTTCTAATAACAGGACAGGCCAAACCCAGCGAAACAGAGATGGCCTCCTCCGACTCCTTTCTTCCAAGGCATGCCAAAAGTCGGTTTTGGTAATGTTGAGGAGGGGTAGGGAGAGAGTGATAATTCTGAGGAAAACTTCTCTATTAATGAGGTGAGTCGGATTTACAGTTAGTGTGAAGGGAAAAATTTCCACCATCAGTGAATATAGTGTCAAGGAGTAACCAGCACTCACATCAGCTCTTTGTGCTGAATGCTGCCTAGGAAGTAGTCATGGGTGTTGCCTGGGAAGGTGTATTGGCCATAGTACCTAGCACCTACTTCCTTTCTGAGATGGATACCTGCCATCCCCCGCATCCTCTCTCAGGATAAAGGATGAGGACCACTGCACTTTATGGGAGTAATCTTGAAGCCTTGAAAAGCTCATTAAGTTACCCAGAGCACTTTGCTTCTCATCTGAATTGCTGTCCCCATAAGGAATTGTTAATTTATGGAAATAGGAAAGCTCCATCATTTTTAAGCAACCACTTTAATTTTCTTTATTAGGAAGGATGAGCTCCATGTGGGCAGAATTCAAATGATGTGGACAGCGCTGTGAAGGAGCCACAGGCAGCCCCTAGAGCCTTAGAGATGGTAGGCAGAATGCGGAGTAAGATGTATGGAAATGTGAACCCGCTCTTACCCCCACTCCCACCCCCAAGATCTTGACTGCATGGAGTACTTGGGGGCTAGGTGTCAAGGACCAGGATGTGGTCCCCAGAGAACTGTGATAGGAAGTAGAATTGATGTCAAACTTCTTATTAAGCAATGAGCAAGACTTTCTTCTGAGCCTCTGAATGTCCAGCTGGAAGCATTTTTAAGTGTCTCTTGCTGGTATTGAGGAGACAGGGACATGGAAGAGAGGAAAACATTTCCAGTCACATTACAGCCTGGCTGGGAAGGTTTGCCTGTGGTGTCTGGAAATCAGTGAAAAGCAGAGACTTCTGCCCACCGGATTGCACCCACAGTGGCATCCTGTACTGGTTAGTGGGAGCTTTTCCACGCTCTGAATGAGTCTATTCTGAGAAACTCTAGGAAAGCATAAAGGGCTTCTGTCTCTGAATGCCACTGGAGCTCCTTTTTCTCTGGTGACTTGGCAAAAGACCAAGCAATTCATTCTGCATTCTCAGTTTCAACACATGTTCACTGATTTTGTTAATGTGATTTGTTTTTCCCATTTTAGGCGCCAAAAACCAAGAAGGGATTGAAAGGTGAGTGGAGAGGTGGAACATCACCCTTAAGTCAAAAATAATTTCTGCACCTTGGGTCCAAAAATAACTTTGTTGTGTCTGAATGTTCTTGGTGTGAGTCTTGCTGATTTCCCCATAATTTCTTAGGCAGCTTTGGTCTTCCTAGGGGACTCCTTATGCTGCCTCATTGGCCCTCAGAGTAATATAGAAATAAACTAGGGACGGGAATTGAGGAAAAAACCCTTCTCGTTGGGCTCTGTATCCAGAAGCATACGGTTGGGGGCCGGCCCCGTGGCTTAGTGGTTAAGTGCGCGTGCTCCGCTACAGGTGACGCGGGTTCGGATCCCGGGCGCGCACTGACACACCGCTTATCCGGCTATGCGGAGGCCGCGTCCCACATACAGCAACTAGAAGGATGTGCAACTATGACATACAACTGTCTACTGGGGCTTTGGGGGGAAAAAAAAAAAAAAGGAAGAGGATTGGCAATAGATGTTAGCTCAGAGCCGGTCTTCCTCAGCAAAAAAGAGGAGGACTAGCATGGATGTTAACTCAGGGCTGATCTTCCAAAAAAAAAAAAAAAAAAAAAAGCATACGGTTGGGGTTACGAGTGGTAAAGGCACTTAAGCTGGATGCAAGACCTCATTCAGGACTCAAACTTGGGTTTCCCCCACATGCCCCCATCGGAAAGTGGCCAAGAAGGTATGTCTCCAGACCAGTTCTGAAGGTCTCAAATGGAAGGATACAAGGAGGCTATTGGTATGAAAGAAGCTTGTATGTGCCCAGAAATCTTGGACACTTTTCCTAAAGAAGCAAACTGGGCTTTGTTCCAAGTCTGGAAGACTGGCTTGTTGGCCAGTGTGTCACACAGAATGTAGGTTCTACTGAAAATCTTCACCACCATCCTTTGAGAAAGTTATTTTCAATTTCTACCCTAGGGTCTTTCCACAAGGCATTGTGACTTGCTGCCAGAGAGTTAGAAAACATCTCGTGGCCCTCTCGTGGCCCGTGAAGAGAGAGCTAAGCCCAACATCTGAGACCTCTGAGGTCCTGGAGTGAGGTCTCAAGACATGAGGCTTGTAAGGATCATTCTTCTTTTCTCCTGAGGTCATGATGGCTGCTTTTCTCTTCCAGGCTCCATAGATGATGTCCTTGGTGACCTCCTAGGGGATGACAGTAAGTGCCCCTTCCCCAGAATCCCTTCATTTAGGCTTCTTCTTTTCTTTTTTAAATTGAGATATAATTCATGTAAAATTCACTTTTAAAGTGTACAGTTTGGTGGCTTTTAGTGTATTCACAAAGTTATACAACCATCACCACAGTGTAATTCCAGAACATTTTCATCACCCTGTAAAGAAACTCCATACCCATTAGCAGTCACTCCTCATTCTCCCCTCCCCCCAACCCTAGGCAACCACTTGTCTACTTTCTTTCTCTATGACTTTGCCTATTCTAGATGCTTTATATAAAATGGAATCATACAGTATGTGGCTTTTGCATCTGGCTTCTTTCACTTACCATAATGTTTTCAAAGTTCATCCACACTATAGCATTCCTTTTTTCATTCCTTTCTATGTCTGGACGATATTCCAGTATGGAGATGCCATATTTTGTTTATCCATTTGTGAGTTGATGGATATTTGAGTGATTTCCACATTTTGGCTAGGCTGTTGTGAATAACACTTTTATCAACATTCATATACGCATTTTTGCGTGCACATATGTTTTCAGTTCTTTGGGGTATAAACCAAAGAGTGGAATCATTGGACTATATGGTAACTCTATGTTTAACTTTTTGAGGAACCACCAAACTGTTTTCCACAGCAGCGGCACCATTTTACATTCCCACGAGCAGTGTAAGGGGGTTCTGATTTCTCCAGGTTCTTGCCAATACTTGTTATTTTCTGTCTTTTTGATTATAACCATCCTAGTGGGTGTAAAGTTGCATCTTATTATAGTTTTGATGTGCATTTCCCTAATGACTAATGATGTTGAACAAATTTTCATATGTTTATTGGCCATATGTATATCTTCTTTGGAGAAAGGTCTCTTCAGATCCTTTGCCTATTTTTTTTAATTGATGTCATTATAGTTTATAACATTATGAAATTTTAGTTGTACATTATTGTTTGTCAGTCACCGTATAAATGCATCCCTTCACCCCTTGTGCCCACCCCCCAATCCCCTTCACCCTGGTAACCACCAACTCTTCTCCCTGTCGGTGTGTTAGTTTATCTTCCACATATGAGTGAAATCATGCACTGTTCGTCTTTCTTTCTCTGGCTTATTGCACTTAACATAATACCCTCCAGGTCCATCCATGTTGTTGCAAATGGGACGATTTTGTCTTTTTTTTATGGCTGAGTAGTATTCCATTATATATATATACACCACATCTTCCTTATCCAATCATCAGTCAAGGGACACTTGGGTTGCTTCCATGTCTTGGCTATAGTGAATAATGCTGCAATGAACATAGGGGTGCATAAGCCTCTTTGGATTATTGATTTCAAGATCTTTGGATAAATACCCAGTAGTAGGATAGCTGGGTCATAAGGTATTTCTATTTTTAATTTTGTGAGGAATCTCCATACTGTTTTCCATAGAGGCTGCACCAGTTTTCATTCCCACCAGCAGTGAATTAGGGTTCCCTTTTCTCCACATCCTCTCCAACATTTGATATTTTTTGTCTTGGTGATTATAGTCATTCTAACGGGTGTAAGATGATATCTTAGTATAGTTTTGATTTGCATTTCCCTGATGATTAGTGATATTGAACATCTTTTCATGTGTCTGTTGGCCATCTGTATATCTTCCTTGGCAAAATGTATTTTCATATCCTCTGCCCATTTTTTGCTTGGGTTGTTTATTTGTTGTTCAGTTGTGTGAGTTCTTTATATATTATGGAGATTAACCCCTTGTCAAATATATGATTTGATAATATTTTCTCCCAGCTGGTGTGTTGTGTTTTCATTTTGATCCTGGTTTCATTTGTCTTGCAGAAGCTCTTTAGTCTGATGAAGTCTCACTTGTTTATTTTTTCTTTTATTTCCCTTGTCCGTGTAGACATGGAATTCGAAAAGATCCCTGTATGACCGATGTCAGTGTACTGCCTATGTTTTCCTCCAGGAGTTTTACAGTTTCAAGTCTTACCTTCAAGTCTTTGATCCATTTTGAGTTAATTTTTGTGTATAGTGAAAGAAAATAGTCTACTATCATTCTTTTGCGTGTGACTGTCCACTTTTCCCAGCACCATTTATTGAAGAGACTTTCCTTTCTCCATTGTATGTTCTTAGCTCCTTTGTCGAAGATTAGCTGTCTGCAGATGTGTGGTTTTATTTCTGGGTTTCAATTCTGTTCCATTGATCTCTGTGTCTGTTTTTGTACCAGTACCATGCTGTTTTACTTATTATAGCCTTGTAGTATATTTTGAAGTCAGGGATTGTGATGCCTCCAGCTTTGTTCTTTTTGCTCAGGATTGCTTTAGCTATTTGGGGTCTTTTGTTGCCCCATATGAATTTTAGTATTCTTTGTTATATTTCCGTGAAGAATGTCATTGGGATTCTGGTTGGGATTGCATTGAATCTGTACATTGCTTTAGGTAGTATGGATATTTTAACTATGTTTATTCTTCCAATCCGTGTGCATGGGATATCTTTCCATTTCTTTATGTCATCACTGATTTCTTTCAGTCATGTGTTATAGTTTTTGTTGTATAGGTCTTTCACCTCTTTGGTTAAATTTATTCCTAGATATTTTATTCTTCTTGTTGCAATTGTAAGTGGGATTGTCCTCTTGTGTTCTCTTTCTGTTAGTTCGTTATTAGAGTATAGAAGTGCAACTGATTTTTGTAAGTTGATTTTGTACCCTACAACTTTGCTGTAGTTGTTGATTATTTCTAATAATATTCCAGTGGATTCTTTAGGGTTTTCTGTATATAAAATCATGTTGTGGGCCAGCCCCGTGGCTTGGCAGTTGAGTGCGTGCACTCCGCTACTGGCGGCCTGGGTTCGGATCCCAGGCGCACACCGACGCACCGCCTCTCCAGCCATGCTGAGGCCCTGTCCCACATACAGCAACTAGAAGGATGTGCAGCTATGACATACAACTATCTACTGGGGGGCTTTGGGGAAAAAAAAAGGGAGGAGGATTGGCAATGGATGTTAGCTCAGAGCCGGTGTTCCTCAGCAAAAAGAGGAGGATTAGCACAGATGTTAGCTCAGGGCTGATCTTCCTCACAAAAAAAAATAATAATAATGTTGTGTGCAAACAGTGAGAGTTTCATTTCTTTGTTGCCTATTTGGGTTCCTTTTATTCCTTTTTCTTACCTAATTGCTCTGGCCAGAACCTCCAGTACTGTGTTGAATAAGAGTGGCAAGAGTGGGCACCCTTATCTTGTTCCTGTTCTCAGTGGAATGGCTTTCGGTTTTTCCCCATTGAGTATGATGTTGGCTGTGGGTTTGCCATATAT